CCTTGGGGGTCTATCTTCCTTACCTGCCACGTACATTTAGAGCGTCCCCGAAAACATGGGAAGAGAAGACGGATGGAAGGGGGAGGGAGAAGGATGGAGCACGAGAGAAATTAGCAGGAGGGGGACCAGGAGCAGAAAACACTTGGCAGAACCAGACGGGCAGATCGGGCGGGTAGAGCCTAGCGGGCGGGTCGGGCAGGCGGGACCAGGCGACCAGAGTCGAGACGGCGGGTTGCTAAAGCGTGAAGACCTGCATGAATCGCGAGGAAGTCTCGAGCGATAGCATGGTTATCAAGTAAATCGTCAGAAAGGCCAAAGCGAGAGCGTGATTCATGAGTGTCCAGGGCGCGGCGTCTGAACAAATTGCGAGGCGCGATTCCTGCACAAATCTCTGGGAAGTCCTGCGCGAGAGCGCGATGTTGGAACACGGTATGAGGAAGTATCAGGCGGAAACCATTGCTGTTGTAGTTCGGGGCCAAACAACCCAGTTTGAGCAGGAAGACTTGCCCTCGTGAAGAAAGTGCGAGCCCCGAGGGGTGGCACTTCTTCAAGTGAAAAAGCACAATGTGCAGCGGCTGCGGCGAACATTAAAGCAGCGCCTCACCCGCACGATGTCCTGAGCGCACCCGGCATGGAGGGCCAGGTGAAGGCAGATGTCTGTGACACGGCAGTCAAAGCAGTTTTGTCTGTCCAGTGCAATTCCCGCCAGGGGTTTCTGGCGATGCCGCGCGCAATTCGACCTGCAGGGCAAGCGTCGTGGCGACATCACGGACAATAGCGTGCGAGACGGCCTGTATGGTGAGTCCAGTGCGATCTCCAGGCTGTGAGGCTGTGGTACGCCGGTGCTTCCCAGGCGTACGTGCACATGGACATCACCGAGAGGAGCCTTTGGTCTGTGTGGGGAGCTTGCGTTTTGCTCTCATCAGGCACGGGTAAGGGACGTGCGGCGGCGGCGGCGGCGGCGACGACCACGACGACGCCGACGGCGACGAGGATGACGACGTCGTCGTCGCTGCGAGGTTCAGAAACCACACACACCGTGCGCCGCACAGCTCCGAGTGCTCTGGCGGAGAGGAGAGAGCGGGCAGGAGAAGGTCGGGAAGGGAGAACAACGAAGGGGCAGGGGGAGCAGGGCGGCCGCGGGGAGGCGGGGAGAAGGGCAGGGCGGGGGGGGGGGGGCAAGGGGGAGGGGCAGGGGCAAGAGGGAGGGGCAGGAGAGGGGAGGGACGAAGAGGGCAAGGGGGAGGGGCAGGAGGATGCAGAGGGGCAAGGGCAAGGGGGAGGGGCAGGGGCCAGGGAGAGAGGAGGGGGGGGGGGAGGGCGATGAAGAGGGGCCAGGGGGAAGGGGCAGGGGGGGAAGGGAGGGGGAGGGAGGAGGAGGAGGAGGGGGAGCGAGCGCCGCCGCCCGCATAGGGGGGACGTGCGGGGAGCGGGCCGGCGAGGGCCGGGGCGCGGCCCGGCGGGGGAGTCCCTCCCCCGACCCGCCGCCCAGCCGGCCGGCTCCTTTCTCCCTCCGGCACGCCCTCCTGGCTGGACTGTGCGGGGGGCAGCCGCCGGTGCGGCGCGCGGCGACGGCCGCCGACGTCGCCGCCCCGCCAGCCAGGGGCGCGAGAGCGGCCGAGCCACGGGGAGCTCCTCGCGCGCCGCCTGGGCGCCCCTCGGAGGCGGGAGCCAAGCCAGCCTCTTCCTCCTCCTCCTCCTCCTCCTGTTCGGCCTTCTCCTGCTCCTCCTCCTCCCCTTCCCCTCCCCTTTGTCATGTTGTCCCTCTCCCCCCTCCTCCTCCACCTCCACCTCCACTTCCTCTGCGTCCTCCTCCTCGTCCGCCTCCTCTTCCTTCAGGGGATGGAGGGGGGAATAAGAGGACTGGTGGAAGCACCAGAAACGAGGGCGCAGAGAAGTACATCAGCAAAGGAGAAAGAGAAGGAGGAATGCTAGAGCAAGGCGAATACTAACATCAGTAGAAGGCGCGCGATTCGCGCGAGCGCGCTGAGGTTCTAGCGCAGCCCAAGCCAACCTCGAAGGATCGGATGAGGCTGGACATCATCCCGCAAGGATCTATGGGAGCGTACTTCCTGATAGGCGCTTCAGGAGTCGCTGAATAAGCAGCCCCAGGAGATCCTGCTGCTCTGAGCACATACACTGAGCAGCTGGCTCGTGGGCAGGGTTTCGGGAGGCTCGTGGCCTGTGGACCGGCTTCAGCGGTCTTGGAGATCTGCATGGCCGTCGAGAGTCCCTCGAACTATCTCGGCGGTGCCCTCGGAGGTTCCTTGGCAACCCTGGGGGACAATGCCATGGGGCAACTCAAACGATCCAAGGGCTGCCAGGGTCGGTCGGAGCCGTCTTGGGCGCGGCCCTGGGAATCCCTTCGGCCGTACTGTGCTTTGCTGGGGAGCGATAAGGTGCTTGTACTTCATTTCGTTTCAAAGAAGAGGTCATCATCCGTATGTCAAGAGTCGCAGAGACCTAAATTACCGATGACCGCTCGATGGACCACGGTTCAAGACAGACGACGTGGCTCGCTCTTCTCATGAAAGCGACGTCCAGCACGACCTCGCGCCATAGGTATGCGTGCAGTCAGGGCGAATCCCCAAGCTGTTTTTTGCAAGCGTCCAGGCAGGCTCCAGGAAGACGCGCAAGGCAGCCACGAGGAGGACCCAGGGTAGCCTACGTAAGGGGTGGCATGCCCGAAAGCCCCTGAGAGCCTCGCAAAACCATGCTGGGAGTCTCTTTGGATGCCGTGGGCGGACACTCTTGGATGGCTCTTGTGGGCATCTGGAGGGGGGGGCCTCTTGGGGCGTCTCGGGGGTCTCATGGTGACCTCTTGAGATTTCTTGTGGGCTCCTCGGGGCCCTCCCAGGGGCTCTTGGCGTCTGGGCTCGAAATGTCGGTTGGATATCCGCTCTTGGGGACATCTTGAAGGCCTCTTGGGCCGACTTGGCGGCCGTCCTGGCGCTCTATTGAGTCGTATTCGGGCCGTCACGGACGCCTCTTGGGCTGTAGCGTCGCTTTCTTAAGGAACTCTTGGGCCGACTTGGAGCAGTGGAAAGCAGCAAAATGCGATAACGCTAACACGTTCAACAAAAAACAGGAAATATGTGATTTGGGCATCCTGGGGCCACCTTGAGGGTCCCCTTGGTGGCATGTAAAAGGGTGTAGGGACCCTCCTGGGCCTACTTGAAGCTATATTTGGCGTCTCCGAGCGTTCTTAATATAGTCTCGCGGCCCTTTTGGCTCGTCTTGGGGGCCTCTTGAGCCTCTCGGGCCCGTCTTGAGACCCTTGCTCGGCGCTCTCGGAGGCCCCCAAGGCAGGGAACCCAGAAACGCACAAGAGGGGCAGCTCGATGCAGCCCTACCCCCAGGATCTCCGAAATACACATACTCCAGGTGGTCGCCCCGTTCTGGCACAACGCATATCAACAACCTGTGTTGCCAACATTGCGTCCTCCTCCTCCTCCTCCTCCTCCTCCTCCTCCTACCCGTCCTCACCTAGATCGTCTTGCGAAAGCCTTGAAAACTGCGGGGAGGATACTAGAGTGAAAAACTTCCGACGCGTTCAAGACCTTTCAGGTCACCTCCCAGGAGGCACGGACCATCAAAGGCCGCCCGAATTGCCCTCCTCCTCCTCCTCTTGAAAACTGCGGGGAGGATACTAGAGTGAAAAACTTCCGACGCGTTCAAGACCTTTCAGGTCACCTCCCAGGAGGCACGGACCATCAAAGGCCGCCCGAATTGCCCTCCTCCTCCTCCTCCCCTTCTCCTCCCCCTCCTCGTCCCACTCTTCGCCCTCCTCCTCCCCCTCCTCCTCCCCCTCCTCCTCCCCTCCTCCTCCCCCTCCTTCTCCTCCTCCCCCTCCCCCCCTCGGGGGCGTCCAAGAGGGGGGCGTCCACTTCGCAAATCATGACCCGAAGCACTTGAGCGGCCTTCGGGGGAGGAGCGAGGGATGGGGCACAGATAACAAGAGAAGAACAAGGAGGAAGAAAAGGACGAAGAAGAAGAGGAGGAAGATGAAGAGGAGGAAGAAGAAGAGGAAGACGAAGAAGAGGGGGCCATGCAATACGGGGAGATATCATGGCCCTGGCCGCGTACCCCACCCGACCCTCCCTGTCATCGTCCCCCTCTTCGGCGCCGTGTGCCCACCCGGCCGCACCTCGGGCCTCCCGCGGCCGCTCGGGCCGCTCTCGCCCCGCCCTCGGCCGCGCCGCCCCCGACCCCCAAAACGGCACCCATCGGCAAGCGGAGGAGCACCCAGAGCCCCCCTGCGGGGTGCGGCCCTGGCGGGGGCTGGAGGCAGATCGCGCCGTGGCGCGGAGGAGGGCGCCCGCCCTCTTGGTCCCTCCCCCTCGTCCCCCCTCTGAGATTTCTTTAGACGCTCATTCTGGGGACCTTCCTGGAGCCACTCGCTCCACTCGTGCGTCGAAGCTGCGTCGAACCTGAGTCGAACCTGAGTCGAACATGAGTCGAACCTGAGTCGAATCTGAGTCGAACCTGAGTCGAACTTGGGTCGAACTTGAGTCGAACCTGAGTCGAATAGATCCATTAGGTGGCCCCCAGGAAGGTCCCCAAAACGAGCATCGAAATTTCTCATCACCCCAAAGCCCCCCACCACACACCTCTTGCGGGGGCGGCGATGGGGGCGCACAGCCCCGGGAGAGGAGCAGCACGTGCATCCAGGGGCGCCGAGGCCCCGCGTCTTCAGCGAGGCCCGTGGGCGAGTGCGTGCACTGCCCGCCCCCTGGGGCTACCCGCCCTTCTCGTCGCCCGACGCTCCGATCGGCTACATGCAAGAGTGACCCTGGGTACGAGTGACCTGTGGTGCGCGGTTGTTTGGGGGCCGCGGGGAGGCCAAACCTGGGCGCGCAAGCCCCTGCTACCGCTTCGTTTTCAGCCATCGCTGCCCGCACCAAAGGTCACTCCGGCGAAAGGTCACTCTTACGTCTAGTCGATTAGCGACAATCCCACACCACCTGGCACTGGACCGGCCGGGCACGGGCGGCGGCGGATCAGGCCGCGTCGGGTATCCAGCCGGCGCCCTGCCGCAGCTGCTCGTAGCGCCCGTCCTGCGGCGACGGGGAGGGCGGGCCAGGGAGAGGCTCCCCCTCCTCGCGGCGTGAGGGTCAAGGGTCGAGGGTCGAGGACCGAGGGTCGAGGACCGAGGGTCGAGGACCGAGGGTCGAAGACCGAGGATCGAGGCTCGAGGCTCGAGGCTCGAGGCTCGAGGATCGAGGATCGAGGATCGAGGATCGAGGACGGAGGAGGGAGGAGGGAGGACGGAGGATGGAGGATCGAGGATCGAGGGCCGAGGATGGAGGATGGAGGATGGAGGATGGAAGATGGAGGATCGAAAGCCGACGGCTGAGGATCGAGGGCCGACAAACCTTCTTCGTCCTCCTCCTCCTCCTCCTCATTTTCCTCCTCCTCCTCCTCCTCCTCCTCCTCCTCCTTCTCCAACTACTCCCTCTTCCCTCCTCCTCGACATCCGACAAAACGAATAGAGAGGGATCTACGCCATGGTTAGAAATGGGAGGGAGGAGGAGGACGTCGGGTATGACGCGAGCGCACCTGGCTTGCCCCTCCCTCCTACCTCCCCCCTCCTCGCTCCTCCTTCCTTCCTCCTCTTCCTTCTCCTCCTCCTCCACCTCCCTCCTCCCTCCTCCCTCCTCCCTCCTCCCTACTCCCTACTCCCTCATCCCCCATCCCTCATCCATCCTCCCTCCCTCCTCCCTCCTCCCTCGTCCCTCCTCCCTCCTCCCTCCTCCCTCCTCCCTCCTTCCGCCCTCCTCCTCCCTCCCGTCTCGCGCCGCCGGCTCCCGAGCGGGACCGGCACCCCCTGCGCCCAAGGGGGGACCGACGGCGACGCCAGAAAGAGGTCGATCCGGCGGGGACTAACCGAGAAGCAGGTTAATTCGCTGGCGCTCTCTAGAGGAGGGGCAAGAGGAGGAGGCGGGGGAGCCGACGGGCTGCAGCAGGGGCGGCACGGCGGGGAAAGCGAGGCAGGAGAGGGCAGGGGAAGGGCGGGGAGGGGAGGGGGACGGGGGACGGGGGGCGGTAATGGTCGCGGGGGTCGTGCTGGGTGGTCGTAGTGGTGGCCGTACTGGCGGCGGTCTCGCTGCCGGGCGGCCGTGCAGGTGGTGGTCGTGCTGGGTGGTGGGTCTGCTGGTGGCCAGTCAGCTGGCGGGGCTGGAGGTGGTCTGCTGGCGGGGGTCGCTGGCGGTCGTGCCGGTGGCTGGTCTGCTGGTGGAGCCGGAGGGCCTGCTGGTCGGGTTGGTGGTGGACGTGCTGGCGGTCGTGGTGGCCGTGATGGTTAGCAGTCAGCCGTTCTGGCGTCGGTCGTGTTGGTGGCGGTCGTGGCGGACTACTGCCCGAGGGCGCTCAGCACCATATCGGCGCTCCCCTTGTAAAGGGTCACCGAGATATCCCGCCACAAGCGGCCGAGGAGTTCCCCCCGCTCGTCTTCCCCGAGGTCGGCGCCGTAGCTGCGCACGAAGGCCGCCGCCTCCTCGGAGGGCCGCCCCCCTGGCCTCGAAGACCATGAGGACCAGCTCGAAGCCCTGCCGCAGAGGATACCGATCCCTCTTGCTGTCGACCTCTTGGGCCGCTGCCAGGTCACTCCTGTGGGACGGGGCCTGCCTGCGCGGGGCATAGGTTGAGTGTGCGCAGGTCACGGCCAAATCCACAAAGATGTGGCGCCCGGTGTTGTGGTCGACGGTGGCCACGTCGAGCTTGGCCTCTTCGAGGCGGCCATTGGGGAGGCGACGATCCCACCCAGGCACGCGTTGCTCGGTGGGGGCAACGTATCCGGTGAGCGCTGAGTGTTGCTTGGAGTGCCAGTCCCGCAGCCGGTTGTGTCGGTCGTTCCGAAACTCCCACACTTCGCACCTTCTGGCGTGCCACCCTTTCCGGTCGAGCGGCTTGTTGCAGAGTTGCCCAGTGGTCTTGTTCCTGTGCTGGCACAGGGCCCCCCTCCGTGTACTGTTTTTTACACCAGACTCCCGGAACATAAGTTTTCGCTTGGGTTGTTTCTCAAATGCTGCTCCCGCTGAAGCGCTGGCCCCATTTCTGCGTCTCTGGTCATTTCGAATCGTGCTCCCAATGTAGCGCGGGCGTGCTTGGTCCTTCCACATAGGCCCCAAAATCAAGAAAAAGGCCACCGAAAAAACCATCGGAAGTGATTACACATTCGGTGTCGACTCGTTGACTTCTTGCAAGCGGGAGCCCCGTTTCTGCTTTGAGAAGGCAATTTTGAAAGCAGAGCCAGCGAGTGCTCTCAATCAGCCCCACCTTGTGTGGAGCTTTTCGGGGGGCCCAAGGAGCTAGACATGGAGCCACGACTCCAGACCGGCCCAGACCTCTCGAAGACGACCCACTTACCCTCCAAGGAACCCGGCCCGATGCCATGACATGCTGTGCGGTGTTGTGCTCTGCGCCGCTGTGCGATGCCATGCTTTGCGTTGCAATCCTTTGTGATGCAATGTTTCACTGCGCAATGCTACTAATGCCACGCCATGCTATAGCATGCTGCGCTCTGCCGTGCACTTCTACGCCATGCCATGCCGTGCTATACCATGCATCGCGTACCCTCTCGCGATCATTGCCCTGCTCGACATCCGAATGTGCGAATAGAGAGGACATCTGCGCCATGGTAAGGGATGGGAGGGAGGGGTAGACGTCAGATATGACGCGAGCGCACCTAGCTTGCCCCTCCCCCCTCCCTCATCGCTCCTCCCTCCTCCCTCCTCCCTCCACCTTCCTCCTCCTCCTCCCTCCTACCTCCTCCCTCCTTCCTCCCTCATCTCTCCTCCCTCCTACCTGCTCCCTGCTCCCTCCTCTTCCGTACTCATTTTGGTTCACGTTTCGACGTCACGTCCCACGCCATCACAGGGCGCTGGGGAGAACGCCCAAACAGCCCCCCATCAAGTGCAGCCCTTCTGGGCGACGAAATGGAACGCATCGCACGGTGGCAGCTGGCTCGTCATTGCGGGCTGGTCTTCGTGAGGTTCCTAAGCCTCGGCAGGTCCTTGAGCCCCTCCAGCACCGCGCCTTCTCGCCAGTGGCCGCTCCGCCGGAACCTGTACACGTCCTCTCGCTGCACGTGTTTTGCTTTACCTTCATGATCGTGTTTGTGCCCTTTGCCCATTTGCTGGAGACGGCGTTCGTCTCCATGACGGTGGTGTCCATTCGGATGCTTAGCGTCACGGTCTTCCTGCAGTTCTTGGGCACAGCCTGTGGACGTGGCCCGTGGGAGCTCTTGCCACGCGTGTGCCCTTCGTGCAGGTGCCAATGCTCGTTGCGCGGCCCATCGGCGCGTTCCCCGCTGCAGTGCTGCAGTGACCCAGCGCACGAAAGGCTGGGCAGTGGGCGTCGGCAGTGGCTCCTCTTCCTCCTCCTCCTCCTCCTCCTCCTCCTCCTACTCCTCCTCCTCGTCCTCTGGCTCCACTACTGCCTGTTCATGACCAGGGGGCGGCATTGAATTCTTACACGGTTTCGTCACTGGTCTAAGCATCATCATCACCTACTCCTACTCCTCGTGAATCACTGTCAGTCAGTCAAGTCAGATCGAAGGCTGTGCTCGTAAACTGCATAAGATGGGGCAGGGGAAAAACACAAGCACCTTACATTCGCGCGCGCAGTAAGGGAGCGGCCTCAGCCCCGCGCAACGTCCCACTCCACGGCCCGCCAAAGAAGGTCCCCCCCGGGATGCCGTCCCACCCCTGTGAGCAATGCAAGCGCTGCCCATGCGAACGTCATGTTACGCGTCGAACGGAATGAAGAAACGCGCAGCCCAGCCGTGCAGCTCATGAAAGCGACCGTCACGATCGCTGCCACGGCAAAGAGGAAAAGAGCAGCTTGTGTCCGATGGGGGAGGCAGAAGAAAGGAGGCGACAAAGAGGACCAGGATATATCTTAGCTTGCTCCGTGGTCCACTGCCTGTGTTCACCGAGGCCTCTGAGTGATATGTGCGTAAGCACCCCGCGCCTTCCCATTGTCGGCAGGCAACTAACGAAACATTTCAGAAATGGGCAATGGACGGCGATAAGTCGAGTCGGTCTGAGCGATCGACCGCCAGACTGGCAATGGCGTATTGGATCCAGGGAACCGGGTGAATTTGACAACCTCGGGGAAATACCAAGAGGAGGGGATACTGGAATCGGACAGTCGAGGAGCGCTTGCCGACTGCTGCGCCGTGGCGCCCAAGGACGCGAACGCGGCTGTGAACGCGTCCGTGAGGTCACCATCACGCTGTTTGCTCGAGACGTCGCGTTTGGCTAATGTGTGGCGCGTTATGGCTTTATGTTCTGCTGTGCCTGGTCTACCTGGGACACGGTTGCCGTCGATGGGCGCACCTCCTAAGAAGTGCGCCGAGAACAGTTCCTCGCGCGCGGGTGCGCCCGCAATGGCGTCTGCCTCGCAGGTCGCGGCGCGGATCCAGACGACTTAGGTCCACGGTGACCCGGGGCGACATCATGGAGGCACTGTACATCTTCCCGTCCTAGATGGCAGATGGTCCTTTGGATGCCTCCTGGAGCAGGTCTGGTGGCCTTGGCCGTGCGGCGGAGTACTGACGTGTGGAAAGATGTTCATGGGCAGTCGGTGCCGATTGGTCCCAGGACGGCAAGGGCTTGAGGTTCATGTTGTGTGCGAACGTGCGGCAGCACGCGGTCGCCTTCCTCCACTGCGTGGAGTGGGATGCTGCTGGCGCGCGACGTCCCGTCGCCCTCTCGGACAGGCGCGGCGGAAACAGAACGCCCCAATGTTTGAAGGGGCCCTGGGACACACAAATAAATACACACAAATAACCGGATTCACCATATTTTCCCATATTTTCTGGGTTTTGTCTTCCCCCCCGCTTCCCATATTTTCCCAGAAGTTCTGGGGAACCGACGATAAACTGTGTCTGTGTGTGTTTCTCCTCCTGAATGTTGCGCATCGAAGCTGATGTAGGTGTGCCCTGCCTTCGCCCTGGTGGGCATCTGCGTCGACCGCGACCCCTGCTGGTCATGGGCCACGTTGGGGAGCCTTGGCGCGAGCGGGGTAACACTGCAGCGTGGCGTAGCTCATCCTAGTTCTTGCGCACCGATATCATTAGCTCGCGCCCGAGCCCGCGTCGGTCGGAGCGGTGTCGCTGGTAAACGGTACCGAGATCGGTGTGACACGTACCAGCGAATCCGTTGTATTCAACGGCTGCTCGGTCGACGCCACCATTGCTCCAGAGAGCGGCGACGTAGGCTTCCTTCCGACTCAGATTAGCGGCCGGCCGATGTGAGAAGGTCGCCAGTTTGCGGCTCTTACCTGGCGGCTTGGGCTGCCGTGGTGCCGGGAACGCATGGCGAGGGCATTTCGGAGCCATGGTGCGCGCGCGGAACGATGGGGATTCGGCTCCAATCTGTCACGGCCTGGGATGGGCCGCGCCCAGTCCCGCGAGGCCAGAGTAGGCCGCGGGGCGCTTGGCGTCGCGGCTGCGCACTGGGTCAGGGGCCCTCGAACCGATACTGGAGGGAGGAGAGGGAGGATGGATGGGGAGGAGGATGGAGGAGGAGGAGGAGGAGGAAGAGAAGAGAAGGAAGAAGGAGGGGGAGCAGGACGAGGAGGAGGAGGAGCATGAGGAGGAGGAGGAGAGAGAGGAGGGTTAGGAAGGGGAAAGGAGGAGGAGGAGGAGGAGGAGGAGGAGGAGCAGAGAAGGAGAGGGGGGGAGATGGAGGACGAGAAGGAGGACGAGGTGAAGGAGGAGGAGGAGGGGAGGAGGGGAGGAGAGGAGAAGGAGGCGCAGGGTGGGAGGAGGAGAGGCGGAGGAGGAGGAGGAGAGGAGTGGGAGGAGGAGGCGAGGGAGGGAGAGGGAGAAGGGGTCTGGCTCTCTCGGGCACCCCCGGCATCGCTCTCGACGGGGAGAAGCTGCAGCTAAGCGCTCCGGCGAGCTACAACCTACAAAAGCGAAACGAAACGTCCGAAAACGCTCAAAGTCCTTCTGACGACGCTGACGACGACGACGACGACGACGACGACGACGACGACGACGACGACGACGCCGACGCCGACGACGGCGACGACGTCGGGCTTCTGGGCGGTTCTGCCGCCCATGGCGGCGCCTCGGGCCCCGCCGGCGGCTCGGCGACGTGGGCGCCGCCTATGAAGTCGTCGACTGGGCGCGCGCGCGGCGCCCGCCGGCCCTGCGCGCGGCGACGCCCCTCCGCGAGTCGCTTCGGCGATGCTCGCGGCTCCCCGCCCGGAGACGTCCGCCTTCGTCCCCGCGGCGACGACGGGCGGCGGCCCTCCGGCGCGCGCCGCCCCCACGGCGAGCTCTGGCGGACCTCTCCCCTGCGAGCCCCTTCCACTGTGGTTTCGGCCGCGTCTCTGCGGCGGCGGGCGAGGGGGTGTTAAGTGAGAAGGAGCAGGCCTTCTCAGAAGGCGACGGGGCCTCTCGGCAGCCCTCGCGCCTCCTGAGAAGTCTTCCGTGCCTTCGGGGACGGCCCAGAAGACTTCTCCGGAGGCCGGGGGGGCTCCCGGGCCTCCCGAGGAGGCCCGCCCCTCCCCCTCCTCCTCCTCCTCCTCCTCCTCCTCCTCCGCCTCCGCCTCCGCCTCCTCCTCCGCCTCCTCCTCCTCCTCCTCCTCCTCCTCTCTCCTCCCTCCTCCCTCCTCCCCTCCCCCCCGAGGGGCCTCGCCGCAGACCTCTGGCGAGGCGGCGAGCGCGAGCACGGAGCTCCGCGCGCTCCGACTCCGGAGAAGCCTCACGCCGGCGGGCCGGCCGCCGTCGGGGATGGACAGACCCCCCTTTTGGGGGTCTACAAAACGAGTCTCCTCCTCGTCCTCCCCCTCCTCCTCCTCCTCCTCCTCCTCCTCCTCCTCCTCCTCCTCCTCCTCCTCCTCCTCCTCGTTTTCCTTGCCATTAAGTCGCCCTCTTGGCTTCGTGAAGACGACCTGAGGCCCAAACCTGGCGGGCGCAAGCCTGGAAAAAAAATAGCGGCCGCGGCGCCCTCTCGAGCACCGAAAACGGACGGTTCACTCATCGACGTGTCGCTGTTGGGGGCTCTGTCCACCCCCGACGCCGGCGGAGGCCTGCAGCGAGGCTCGGCTGGCCGGGTGCTGGGCGGGCTGCGCCTGCCGCCCGGCGGGCGGCCACGAGGTGCCGCGGCGGGCTCGCGCCGCGGCGGCCCCCGCCGCCGCGTGGGCCGTCCAGCCTTCAGCTGGCGGCGACGACAGGGCTGTGGATGCCACGGCAGTGGACACTCTGACCATTCGATCGTTGAACTAACATGCGTTCCAAGTGTGCAGGACGTGTCCCAAAAGTGCTTCGCACCTGTTCTTACAGACTCCAAACATGTCTGAACCATGTCTTAGACATCTGGAAACTATTTGGCAGCACGCTTCCTCTCCATGGATCGACTTCCACAACGATAGGGGCGAACAGCCCAGGGGCGGGCATTACACGTATCCCGCCGGGGAGTCGGGGGCGCGCAAGCATGGATTCGCGATCCATGGATTTGGCGCGCGGCCGCCAAATCCATGGATCGGGGGAGGCGCCCTCCCCAAAATGCGGCCGATGACGCCTCGTTCGGCGGCTGGAATCCGCGAGTTCCCATGGAAACGGGACTCGTCGCCAACACACGCCCCCTCAATCCATGCTGGCGATCGCCTGCCGAAGACATGGACCATCGGCGCCCCTGGGCACGTGTGCTGCTCCCCCCTGGACTATTCGCCCCCGCCGTCGCTCCCGACTCAACCGTCTGCGGCCTTCCGACCGCCAGATCGTCCCATACTGGCCGACTCTGGGCCACCGGCGGCGTTCCAGCCCGAACGCCCGCAGCGTTCAGCCTCGAGCCCCCGCGCCCAGCGGCTCCAAACCTTGAACAGCCGCGCCGGGGCCGCAGCACAGCCGCCAGGGCACGAACCTGCCGCGCGACGGAGCGTCGACGACCACAGCGACGACGACGACGACGACGACGACGACGACGACGACGACGGCGGCGGCGGCGACGACGACGACGACGACGGCGACGGCGGCGACGACGACGACGGCGGCGACGACGACGGCCACGGCGAGGGGCCGCGACGGGCGCAGAGCGGCCCGCGACGGGCGAGGCGGCAGCGGCCCCTTGGAAGGCGGCTCCGGGGAGGTCTGCGACGGAGGCTTCCCGGATGGGGTCCGCGAGGAGGAGGGGGAGGAGGGGGGGAGGAGGAGGAGGAGGAGGAGGAGGAGAGGAGGAGGAGGAGGAGGAGGAGGAGGGAGGACCAGGAGGAGGAGGAGGAGGAGGAGGAGGAGGAGGAGGAGGAGTACGAGATTTTTTCACGCTGGCGGTTCTTCCTGGATTTCGGCCTCCGGGGCCCGTTATCGGGCCCAAGGACCATCAAAAACGGATCCGGGACGAAAACACATCCCCGGGGAAGGGGTTGGGCCCCCTGGTGCCGCGGAGTGAAAAATCATGTCGGCGGATGTCTGGGACTGGACAGGGCACCCGAGAGGGCGCAGGACTCCTCCGACGACGGCGGGGCCCCAGGACACCAGGAGGGCATGCGGGCTGCAGAGGTCGGGACAGACAGGGCACATGGTCGGCCCACCAATCAGGGCCGACTGTAATGCGTGCGGAGGTGGGCGGACAGTTTGGGGGACACGTTCCCAGAAGCCTCTCCCGGAGCACGATTTCCAAGGTTCACCAGGGGCCTCTCTAGGGGCACGAGTTCCAGACGGGCCAGCACGGCTCCGAAGGCTGATCCCTACGAAAATGCGTTCTACCCCCCCCCAAGGATCCTCAGGTAAGAACGATTACGGGCCACGAAGCCGGATAAAGAGCCCATGAACCTGGATCAAGCCGGATCGAGCGCGGGATTGAGGCCCCAGCATCGACCCCTCAGCGTCATCAGTCGGCGGCGGGCCGATACAATACGATACCACCACCGCTGCGGACATCGTCCGGGCCTAGCTAAGACCAGGTGGGCAAGGCCTTGGCCTCAGAAGTCTGGCGCGTCTGGACAACATGCAATGCGAGACACATGTATAAAAAGGTATGAGGGGAGGGAGGGGAAATATTAGGAGGCAGATCTTCTAAGAAGGCGGCGGGGCTCCCCAGAAGCCCTCCGCGCTTGTGCGAACCCCTCCGAGGTTTCGGAAAGGGCCCGCGCCCTCCCCTTTGCGGGCCCGCCGCTCGGCGAATGCGATCACCTCGGCACGCAGAGGATGGGCGTGGGGGGAAGGGGGAGGAGGAGGAGCAGGGGGAGGAGGAGGAGGAGGAGGAGGAGGAGGAGGAGGAGGAGGAGGAGGAGGAGGAGGAGGAGGAGGGAAGGAGCCGGGGGAGGAGGAGAGGAGGAGGAGGAGGAGAGGGGAGGAGGAGGAGAGGAGGAGAGGAGGAGGGGGGGAAGCAGGGGGAGGAGGAGGAGGAGAGGAGGGAGGAGGAGGAGGAGGAGGAGGAGGAGGAGGAGGAGAAGAGAGGAGGAAGGGAGGAGCAGGTGAGGAGGAGGGAGGAGGAGGAGGAGGAGGAGGAGGAGAGGAGGAGGAGGAGGAGGAGGGGGGAGGAGCAGGGGGGGGA